GTCTGCCAGAGGTGGTGGTGAAGATTGAAATCCCCTGCAATCAAACAGGATCTGGGGGGCAGAGGTTGACTTTGTAGGTGCCTCAGCCCCTCCCCAGCATCTACAGATCCAGGGGGTGCATTATACAGGTTTAGTAGGGTCACATGTTGGTCTCCTGAGCTCACCTGGACTGCTGTCAAGTCCCGGTTGGGTTGGGGGCCATGTGTTATGAGCTCTGCTTTGAGTTGTGGGTGTTTGCAGATATATATGAGGGTGCGTGGCCTGTGTGTCCAGTCTTCTGTTGGTGTAAAAAGCTGGAAAGCTGGGCTATGCTTGGAGAGGCGGCGTGTGCGGATATTGGAGATCCATGGCTCTTGAACGAGAATGGCATGGTAATCTTGTTCAAAGGCTATTTGGAGGGCTGCTTCATGAGGGGATGGGCTCCGGGCCACATTGACCTGGAGAATCCGCAGTTGTGGGATAGATTTGTCGTATCTCATTGGGTAGGTGCAGGATTGGGGGCCCTTTCTGGGTCTGTGTTGTTGGGTGTGGAATCAGGGATTGCTTGGTTGGCCTGGGTGTTGTCTGTTGCTCTTTGACCTAGTTCTGTCCGTCAGATGGCTGCAACTTGTGTCTTGGGGACCCGGATGATGGCCCCCTGCTTGAGACTGGGCCGGACTGGACAGCTTGCATGGTCTGCTGGGATGGGACTGAAGCAGTTGGCGCATTGGTGGGTGCTGCCATGTGACTGGGGATCATGATTCTCCTCAGTGTGGTCTTTAGCGCCGCAGAGCCGGCATTTGGGCTGTCAGGTGCAAGTTCTTGGGTTGTGGAAATCCCAGCAGCGTGGGCATTGCTGGATTTTGGGGTTTATGAATTTGCATCTGATATGGAGGTTCTTGCTGAAAAAGTGAATCCAGGATGGAATTTCAGAAGCAGCATTCTCTGGCACTGCAAGGATTATTGTTGATGTATCTTTCATGGTGTGTTCCTGGTTCTTTCTGGACCAGTGGAGTTTTAGTGGAGAGAATCCAGTCTGCAGTTTGAATTCCTCTTTTGCAGCTTGTTCAGACACATTGACTATAGAGCCATCATACCCAGTATATTGTTTGATAGCTCCTGGGATCACGAAGATGGCCCATTTCTGTTCTGACTCAGCATTGGAGCCCTGGATTGTTTGCTGTATCTCCTCCTTTTTGTCAAGCAGGATCTGTCCGCTTTGGGTGTCTTTAGGCCCAATGGCAAGCCCTGTGGGGACATGTTGGATCTCCTTTATGGTGTTGGTGGCCATTGGGCCCAGGTTGTTGCGTAGCTTTTGTAGTACTGCGTACGGGCTGGCCTGCTGGGCAGGGTGATCAGTTGGGATTCGGAGGAAGAGACGGAGGGGCCTTTCTGGCTTTGAGGGTGTGGTATAGGATTTCTTTGTAGTCTTGCTGTCTGTTTTGGGTACAGTGGCGGCTGCGTACGTTTGGGGGGGGCTAGCTGGGGCCGGGTTGGCTGTGGGGCCTTGATCATGTATCTTGGCCGTTGATTGGGTGAAAAAACTCTGCATGAATGTATGCAGAGCTTTGCCAAAGGAGAGGGCTCTAGGCTGTTCTTTTTGCTTCATGGAGGAGATTTTCTTGTCCAATAGGGTTAGAATCCCTAGTATATCTTCATCTTCTTCCTTCTCTTTCATAGCCCGGGCTTGCAGGATAGTGCTAACATGTCCTGTCAGCTCATGGTCCAGCTGCCCATCCGGGTTCTGGGGCTCCGGGAGAGCTGATGGTGGTTGGTCTATTGGTTCCATGTCCATGTCCATATCCGGTAGCAGCGAGGTTGGCGTAGTTGCATCCAGATCCTCTGGAGGGTTCTCTTCTAAGGCTGCCTTCTGTTTATCTGGCTTATCTGGCTTCAGTCGTTTGCGAATTCCCGCCGGTTTGGCGATGCCATTGATCAGGATGTTGTCCCGTTGTTGGGTCGTGCCTGGAGTGCGGTCTCTGGCCGAATAGCGAGTGACAGGCGCCATGATAAAAAGTAACGGTTCTTTGCCTGATTGGTGTGGAATACAGTAGTGCCACGATCAGTAGTGTGTGTGTGTGGTGGTAGTAGTAGTAGTAGTAGTAATATTTAACGTCGGTGTGGGACACGCGTTAGTCACGTGCCCGCGGAGATCCCGGAACGGAATATACGACGGGCAGAGCGGAACTGCCTATCTAGTAGCTAAGCTAATTCTATCATACACATTGGCGACACTCCCACGCGGGAGCTCACATGGACATTGGGCCGCAGGAGCGGAAATACATGGTTGATGGGAGGTGGGAAGGAGGAGGAGGAGGAGGAGGAGGGAGAGGACGTGTGGGAAAGGGATTTTTGTTTAGTGTGCGGGGCAGATTTTGAGGTAGAAGTGAGAATTCTGAACCCATTCATGAAAGTCCTTTATCCCTGGCTTGGATCGCAGGATCTCGTCAACCTGTCTCTGCCCCCATGGGTGGGGGTATGCCTTGCGGCCATTTCGGCAGTAATAAAAATGGTGGGGGGACTTTGGGCCTCTACAAGAGCATTCCAACTTTGCGTCTTCATGCCCAAATCGCTCATGATATTGGGCAAAGTCTCCATGGCCTGACCGGGCAGCGAGGAGTCGGCCGAGGGTGGCTCTGGGAAGGGATAATTCATGGGGTCGTTTATCCAGGTCGATGGAGAGGTCGCGGTATTGTTGAGGCGCGTTCTCAGCCCAGTATGATTGAAATCGCTGCCAGAATTCCTCCTTCAACATCCGGTGAGCCCAGGCGTATCTTGCAGGGGGAGGGTTGGTCTGTGGGGTGGCCCTAGTTCCTTTCTTTGCTTGCTCGTCGGCCTGCTCGTTCCCTGGGATACCGGCGTGTCCGGGGATCCAGTGGACATGTACCCGCCCAGGTGGGATAGCCTCGCACCTGAGTGCCCGGTTGGGCCAGGCATTTGTGATTTCTTGGAAGGCCAGGATGGTGCTCTGGCTGGAGCCTCTGGGTGAGCCCACTAGCTGTCGTGCTACCTCTTGGTTGTCTAGGAGGATGTATAAATTCTGCGTGTATGGGGCTTGGGCACTATCAAGGGCGGCCTTAAGCCCTTCATATGCAGCGGTGGCCTCTGCATCAAAAACTTCGTGCTTGGGGAGACAGAGATGGCCACGGGCAGATTCTTCCTTCCAGGCACCCCAGTGTCCATACCATCCAGCACCAGCTACCATATCTGAATTACTCAAGCGGCTGCCGTCGGTGAAGAGGAACATGGAGAGTGGAGGGCATGTACCAGTCCACTGTTGAAAGATTTCACCTGCCCTGTCTCGGGTAGAGCAGATGTTTTGAGTTGTTCTGGGGTTGTCAGCCTGCCAGGGGGAATAGATCAGAGGGTCAGTCTGTTCTATTCGCTCTAGTCCTGTCAGATGGTTGTGGATGAGTTGTGTGTTTGAGGGGAAGGCTCGTGTACGGAAAAATCGCCTGTGAACTGGATGGTGGTTGTCCAGTCTTGAGACCTGCAGTCTAGCAGAAGCGCGCTTCTGGTCAAGGATGATCTCCATCGGGGGAATGGCGGTTTCTCGATGGAGAGCTGGAATGGGGGTGGTCCGGTATACTGGGAGAGTACCTCGGAGAGCATCTCTGAGTACCCGGTCAAGGTGAGAGAGGGAGGAATCAACTCGATTTGATACAGAGCCCTGGTTCCTGGGCCTGGGCCTGTTTCGACCAGGCCACCAGGCCTCAGCTCCATAGCAAAGGACTGAGATGACACAGGTGATTGTAGCCTGCCGCAGTAGGTGTGCCCTAGTCCCTCTGACTGTGTTGGTTAGTGATCTGATACCAGCAGCTGTCTGTCTGGCCTTTGCAGCTAGGGTCCTGCAGTGTTTGCGAAAACTCAACCTCCGGTCAAACCAGATGCCTAGCCAGCGCGTTGCACCGCCAGGAGGGGGAGGTGTGACTGTGTGTGAGCCTTGAGTGGAGCGAATAGAGCATGTGGGGTTGGAATGGTTGGTTCCACGTGTGAAGTGCTGCAGTTCTGTTTTGTTGAAGTCAAAGGTGAGGCCTTCTCTAGCTCCCCATTGCCTGAGCTCCTCTGTGCAGTGCTGGAGTGCTGTACAGTTTTCCTCCAAGGAGGGGGAAGCCACTAGCTGGCATATGTCGTCAGCGTATCCAAATCGGCCACGTCGGGTGCGGAGAGAGCTTTGTTTGAAGATGGGCTCAATGAATAGCATGAAGAGGATTGGAGAGATTGGGGAGCCTTGTGGGAGACCCGCTGGAACCTGGAAAGTCTGACTCATGTGGTTCCCTAGGCGGAGGCTGGCTGTTCGACCTTGGGTGAAACTAGCTACCCATCGGATCACATTAGTAGGCCAACCCTGCTCCCGGAGCCGTCTGATCAGTCGTCCTCGCAGGACAGCATCAAAAGCGCCTTGTACATCCAATGTGAGCATGGAGGCCTTTAGACCTCGTGCCCATGCTTCCTCAACATCATGGATCAGAGCTGCAGCTAGGTCCGTTGCAGAACGCAGTGGGAGAGCTCCAAATTGCTGGGGGTGGAGGACTTTGTGCTTAATAGCAATCCATGCCATTCTGCGGGCTATTAGGTGCTCGAGTCCTTTTCCCAGGACTGAAAGGAGAGCGATGAGCCTGTAGGCCCGGGGGGAGCTACGGTCCCTCTTCCCTGGCTTCGGAATAGCGACAAGCGAAGCATCTCGGAATGGGGTAGGATGCCATCCCTGCTCCAGGCAGCTTCGGTACAGGAGTGAAGTGGCAGGTCCCAGGGAGGGCCATGCCTTTCTGAGGATAGAGGTGGTCACGCCATCTCTTCCTGGAGTGCTGTTCTTGGGTTTGGCAACTGCAGTGTAGATCTCTTTCTCTGTGATGGCAGGGAAGGGCAGTTTGGGATCATTGATAGGCTCCAAGTTGACCTCCACATCCTCTGAGCATGAAGCCTTTTGCAAAAGTGCCCGGACCAAGTAATTTGCTTTGTTGTCTGTGGAGGAATGAAGTCAGTCTCCCTCTTTTAGAGGGGAGATAGGTAGAGTTCCTTCAGTTCTGTTCCACTTTACTGCATTGAAAACATCCTTGGGTTCTTCAAATTCATCAACTTTTGCATGCCAGAAGTGGTGTTTGCTGTGCCAGACAACGCAGCGAAGGGCTTGTTTAGCATCCCCAATGTCCTCTGATGTGGATGTTGGGTCTTGTGTGACCCTGCGGAGTGTCTTGACTACTCTGGAACAATCCTGGTTCCACCATTTGTGGCCACAGGGCCGGGGATATGCTCGCTTGGTTGAGGCCTCCAGAGAGGTGGAGATCGCCTGGGTGATGCTAAGTGCGAGCTCGTCTAGTTGGGAGGGAGAAGGGTGAGGGGGAAGAGTAGAGGCTATTCCATCCACATGCCTTTTCTCCCCTTGTATTGTCTCCTGGAACAAATTGTCATTGAGGGTAGACCAGCGGAGAGGCGGAGTATCCCAGGGTAGGTTATTCATGCCCCATTGGATGGTTGTGAGGATGGGTTCATGGTCTGCAAGAGGTGGGAGGTCTGCAGTGACTTCTGAGGATATCCCAAGGTTGAGCAGAGCGCTATTGGCCCAAGATAGGTCAATCATGTTTTGTCCTCGAGTTGGTGAGTCTGGTGGGAGTGTCAGGGAGAGATCTTGGGAATCTGTCCAAGATAGGAAGGGTTCAGCTCTGGGAGAGGGTCGAGCAGAGGACTGCCATATAGGATGCTGGAGATTGAAGTCTCCGGCTATTAGGCAGGGGTGGGACGGGGCTGTCCCTGTCATGAGGGAGTCCAGGCCTTGGCCTTCATTGACTGCCCCTCGGGGGGCATTATAGACATTAACCAGGAGTGCAGCTCTCTGGGGAGTGGTGATTCAGACAGCCAGAACATCTCTGGAAGTTGGTCCAAAAGGGACTAGTTCTGCTTTTAGGTGTGGGTGTTTAGATATATAAGTGAGGACTCGGGGCCTATCTGTCCAGTCTTCGATCGGGGCGAATTGGTGGAAGGATGGGTGGTGTTTAGATAGTCGGCGTGAGCGGTCTGTGAATATCCAGGGCTCCTGGATCAACACTGCATGGCAGTTATTTTCAAAAGCTATTTGAAGCGCAGTTTCATGCGCTTCCCAATTTCGGCCAACATTGAGTTGGAGGATCTGTAGGTGAGATAGTCTATCTAACATGATAGGGGCTGTTCTCTTGTAGGTGAGGGGCCTGGGGTTCCAGGGGGCTTATTTGTATCAGTCTGGTGTTGTAGCATGTGTTGGCGTGCACCTGCTTTCCTGACTGCCATGTATTGTGACTTGGAGAGCCGCTGGATGGTTCCCTGTTGTACAGTAGGTCGGGTGGGGCAGTTGGCGTGGTCTGCTGGGAAAGGTCCACAGCAATTGGTACAGCATGGGCCTGAGCTCTCATCATCCTCAGGGGAGGGGTGGGACTCTTCCATGTGGTCCCTCTTGCTGCAGATTCGACACCTGGGTGTTTGAGTGCAGGCCTGTGGGTTGTGGTAGTCCCAGCATTGTGTGCACTGCTCTATGCGGGCTCGGAAGGGTTTGTGTTTGACTTGTACATTCTTGCCGAAAAGGTTGATCCATTTAGGGACTGCTCTGGCTTGGTCTTCGGGGACAGCCATGATGAGGGTGCTAGATAGTGGGTTTTTGTTTGAAAAGTAGAACTTCAAGGGGCAAAGGCCTGTCTGAAGCTTGAACTCTTCCAGAGCCATCTGCTCAGTTATGGGCACTTGGGACCCATCATAACTGGTATATTGCTGGGGCGCGTTTGGTAGGGCGTAGATGGCCCATTTCTGTTCAACTTCCGCTGTAGCTCCCTGTATAAGGCATTCCAGGAGCTCCTTGCATTCTGTGAGGAGCTGGAGGCCCAGTCCATCCTTAGGCCAGATTGCCAAGCCCGAGGGCACTTGTTGGATCTCTTTAACAGCTGCAGAACAGGTCTCGTCCAGGTGTTTCCTCAGTATATCCATTGTGGCGTACGGGCTGGCCCGGCGGGCTGCGTGGTCTTTCGGTAGACGGAGGAAGATGCGGGGGGTTTTCTCAGGCTGTGGCTGCGGTTTCTTGATTGGCTTCAGGTTTGCTTTGGGACTGCTGGGGGAAGCTCTTGTTGTCTCTGCATAGGTACTATTCTTGGGAGGGTGGGGTTGTTGTTCTCTTTCTTCAGCAGGGCGTCCATCTGCCAGGCTCTTGCTGAAGTTGAGAACCAGCGTCCTGATGTCTCTGCCTAGGGAGGCCGCTCCTTCCAAACTCTTCTCTTCCCAAATGGCAATCTTCTGGCTGATCCCTGAGACAAGTTCAAGGACTTTGTCACCTGTGGACTTGATCTGTGCTGTGCGCGACGTCACTGCAGCAGTGATATGGTTGTGGAGTTCGAGGCTCAGTTGGCACTGGGGGGGGTCATGGGTGGGGGATGCCGGGGGGTTGTCCTGCGCCGGCGGTGGGCCCGTGTATTGGTTCTCAGGGGCTAGGCTAGGAGAGTGTTGAGCCTGCTGTGGTGTCTCTGGTCCTATCTGTACTGGTGGTTGATGGGGGATGGCGGGGTCGAGGGGAGGCACGGTCGGGGTCTCAAGGGCCTCTGAGGCCTCGCACATGATGGCGTCCGCCACACCATTGGGCAGGTTGGGTCCTTTTTCTTTTCGCAGTTTAGTAGAGCGCAGGCGATAATGCGCCTGGGTAGCGGGGGCAATTCTTTTCTTGATGCCCGTGGTGCTCATTGTGGTGTAGTTGGTGGTGGTGAAGTGGTGGTGAAGTTGAGGCTGTTCAGGTCACGGCTGGTCACGGGATTTCTTTCTCAACCTCGATGATCCCCAACATCACCAACTTCTCTCATTCAACCATGTCAACGTCACGACTCTGACATTTCGGGTGCACGCGGGGTGAATCCATGGTTCTCCCTGCCCCGATTGAACCGTCCATCGACCCGGCAGTTACATCCCAGGCCTCCGGTACTCTGTACGAAGCTCTTTCATCCCCAATGGCCTAACTACTACTGCAATCGTTGACGTTAACAATTCAGATCTGCAATTCGCCAAGGCCATTGAACAACACGAATCGGCCGGAGTAACAGGGGCACAATGGTCTAAACTAGCGAACCAAATTCCGGGTTCCGGGTCCCACTGGCTCGGGGAAGAGCTTCCGGTAGTTCGATCGCCGCCAGGGACTGTGATACGCCTGCTCTCTACGGCGAATCGAACAGCACATATGGTACGGAGTACTACTCTATGTACAAAAGAACATTTGCGACTCTAACTCCTTCTGCCCGATGAGTTTCCGAATCTCCAACGATACCACGGATTGCTTGAAAAGGCACCCAGGTTCGTGTCTTGAGTCAAGGTCTCGCTCACGAAGCGGGGACCGGTGCGAAAGCAAAAGCGCAGATCCGGTAGACCGGGGATAACGACGGTATTGGCATCTCCCCAAACAGTACCCATTGAAAGCGCATGGAATCAATGAACATGCTTGTAGCTGTTCTACAGTAGTCTTTGGCGACGGGATGGAGATAAATAACGATGCTGGACTGGCTCTGACGTCAGAGAAGAATCTGCATTCCGATCTTTCGATCTGATCGAGTGTCTTCCCGCCTGTATTCGCGAGTATTTAGAAGGGATGTTTGCCATGAGATGGTTCCTGTACGGACATCGATCTCTATTCACCTACACGCACTCAGCTCCGCGACTCATCTATCAGTATCGCAAATTCCATCATGCCCGCGAAAAAGCGCACCACATCGAGCCCCTCCGGAAGTACTGCCAACAAACGAGGCAGGCTCGATCTATCGGATCCCCATCCTAATGCCCAACAAGCCGAAGAGTTTGGCATTGTTCTGCGGGAGTTCTACCCTCCGGAAATGAGCAACGAGCGTTGTGCAGCCTACAACAATGGCACCCTGGAGCGCCCGATTGAGACTTTGCAGAAAGCGTATGAAGAAACGGCAGACACAAGGCAGTCAATACAACTGAAAAATGCTGTAGTGCATTGGTTCAAGACAGACCTGCGACTTCACGATAATCGGGCTTTGTATATGGCGTATGAGACAGCGCGGGATAACAAGATCCCGCTCATCTGCTTGTATATACTCTCACCGGAGGATTTGACGGCTCATCTTACCAGTCCCGCCCGTGTCGACTTGACTCTCCGGACATTGGCGCAGTTGAAGCGGGACCTAGGGGAACTCGATATTCCTTTGTATATGGAGACGCAGGACAAGCGTAAAGATATTCCCAGTCGTATTCTTGATCTATGCCAGCGCTGGGGAGTGAACAACTTGTTTACCAACATAGAGTACGAAGTTGATGAACTACGGCGAGATGCAAAGCTGGTGCGACTCTGTGCGGACAATGGTATCAAGTTCGAATCGGCCCACGACACTTGTGTTGTCACCCCAGGTGCCCTTCACAGCCAACAGGGCACACAGTACGCTGTATATACTCCGTGGTATCGCACATGGGTTGCTTTTTTGCAAGAGAATCCAGAATACCTCGAGGTTGTGGAGGAGCCGGGTTCCAATCCCGACGACGCCCGAAGGCACTTTGGAGATTTATTCGGCAGTCAGGTACCTGCGGCACCGAGCAATAAACGTTTGTCTGATGAAGAGAAGGCGCATCTGGAACAACTATACCCGGCGGGCGAGCACGAAGCTCTCCGCCGGCTCGAGGAGTTTCTGGAGGAGAAGGGAAAGTCGTACGACGACATGCGGAACATACCAGCCGCAAAGAGCACCTCCATTCTCAGTCCATACTTTGCATCTGGCTCGCTGAGTGCCAGAACGGCAGTGTCTATGGCAAAGAAGGCCAACCGAAATCGACTGAATTCCAACGAGTCTGGGTATGCTTCGTGGATTAGCGAGGTTGCATGGCGGGACTTTTATCGGCACGTACTTGTCCAGTGGCCTTTCATATGGTAATACTCTCCATCGCCCTCTTTGTTTTCTTTGCTTGAATATACAAGCTGACGTGTCCTAGCATGAACAAATGCTTCAAACCCGAATTCACCAACCTCGAGTGGGAGTATGACAGAGACCAGTTCAACGCCTGGTGTGAGGGCAAGATAGGATACCCTATTGTCGATGCTGCGATGCGACAGTTGAAACAGGATGCTTGGATGCACAATCGCACACGCATGGTCGTATCTTCCTTCTTATCGAAAGACCTCTTAATCGATTGGCGCCGCGGAGAGCGATATTTTATGGAACATTTGATCGATGGGGACTTCGCATCAAACCACGGAGGATGGGGTTTTGGGTCTAGCACAGGCGTCGATCCTCAACCGTATTTCCGTATCTTCAACCCTTCCCGCCAGAGTGAAAGGTTCGACGCGGACGGCGAGTATATCCGGCACTGGGTACCGGAACTGCGTGATATCAAGGGATCAGCAATTCATGAACCGTACGAACGAGGCGCAGGGGCTGTTGCAGAGAAAAATGGATATCCCAAGCCGATTGTGAAGCATTCGGAGAGCCGAGATCGAGCGTTGGATCGGTACAAGAGAGCGTCACAGAGCAAGTGACCAAAGCTTTGGGTACATAGAGCGCGGCGTTTCTATTCCAGCGTAACTAACTATAACCAACAATCTGCATAAGCCAATTCTTAGCCGACTATTGAGTTCCGTAGGACTGCTTCCCTTACCCCCCCCCCCCCCCGGCGTCCCCCATGACCTTCCCCGAAGGCATCGCATGAACCTCAGCTCCCCTGGCAGTCCCCAGGCATGGACATCGCCTGGTGCAAACTCTATGCCGGCCGTTCAATGCGGAGATTTCTCTTTTTGGTGACTTCCCCGCGCCCCCGGACTATCTGTCTCACTTTCACCAGCGGCATCACCGTGAACCGTTTGGTCTTTTTGTCCTGTTGGCTTGCGATATTTATTCCCCTCAATTCTGCATTGCATGCTCATGCCTTATACTCGGAGGAATAGCCTTAACTGGTGTTGCAGGTTGGTGTGTCCAGTTTGCCCCGGAATCTACCCCGACAATTTTTTTTCCCGCATTGCCCGCTAACCGATCTGCTTTTTGCACAGTGATACGTTCGGGACTCTTCCCTCCTGAACATATGGCGATATAATCCGTTGAAATTCCCCGAGCATCCTGCCAATGTCGACTTGAAATGGATCCAGCCCAGTCGGGGGATCAGCAGCAGAACACGGCCTCAGGAATAACCGATGACCCTTCCAATGGCAGCGGCTCCGGTAAGAAACGATGGAGACGCAATCGGATAGCCTGCGACTCCTGTCATACTCGTCGCGTGCGATGCGACCGAGCTTTTCCGTGTTCGCGCTGCCTGCGCAATGAGATTCGATGCGAATTCACTCGAGAACTTCGGAAGCGGGGGCGGATCGCGCGATCGAAACAGACGGGAGTGAATGTTGCCAATGGCGCATCGGATAGGCGTGCTGTTGAGCGTAGCATGGCAGCAGTGTCACCGCCGAGGGAGAGAAATGCGTCCCCAGCGGGCAGCGCTCGCCAGCGATCACCCACGGCGAACGACGTGACTGTGGCGTCCGGTCCCAGCGTCGATGCACAACGTGGACTGGGACCGGAGGCGAATGCTACGGAGGACTGGCTGTCGTCGACCCATCTGTCTTCAGATTCCTATGGATTTCTGAACGGCACGGGCTGGAGGGATGGCTCTCTGCCACGGGTGTTGGACTTCTGGAACGGAGTCGACTTTGCTAGTCACAGTGCCCGGACTCCTCCGGCTTCGAAGCTAGCACACATCGCGCAGACGCCCGGGTCGTGTTCGACCTCGACTTCACTCAAATACCCTGTGTTGCAGCCATTGATGCCATTTCTAGAAGGGACCGTATCCCGACGACTGGTCTTTGATCTCTTGGAGCTCTATTTTACCAGTGCCTTTTCTACCCATATGCACCCCGTGTGCCATCATATTCACTGCTATGTCCTACGAAAAGCGTCATTCCTTACAAGCGATGCTCCCCGTTCGACCAGCCCGGCGCTGCTGGCTAGTATGCTCTGGGTAGCAGCTCTGGACGACCGCGCCTTTGCTTTATCCATTTCCCCGCCACAGCGCAAAAAGATCTGTCAGTTCTTATGCGCGCTGACGATTCGACTGCTGCGACCTTTGATCCATGCTTCCTTTCGGGAACAGGATAGCGCCACGCCTCGCGATGTGTCATTTGCCGCCGTCGGTCCAGAGTGCCCGCCTTTAGCTAGCATGCACCACCCTCCTCCGGGGACTGGAGATGACCGGGGCCTGGTAGGTCCGGCTGGCTCTCTAGACGACGTCATTACGTATATCCACGTTGCCTCGATTATCTCCTCCAGTGAGCAAAAGGCGGCTAGTATGAGATGGTTAGTTCCCATACAATGCCTAGTTAGCTGGCGATACATTTAGCTGACAGTATCCAGGTGGCATGCAGCATTTACCTTGGCTCGCGAGTTGAAATTGAACCAAGAGATTGAGGTGGTATCAGATGTGGACAGTCATCCAGAAGGATCGAGTCCACCCTTGGACGACTTCTTGCCCGGCTGGGGCGGTATCGATACAGGAAACTGGAACGACACATTCAATCCAGCGCGTCCTAGTTTGAACTGTGTTTGCGATCGCGGCCGTGACTGGCACAGTACCCTCACCGAAGAGCATCGCGAGGAGCGTCGTCGGACGTGGTGGCTGCTGTACATAATGGACCGCCATTTGGCACTTTGCTATAACCGACCGCTGGCTTTGCTTGATGCTGAGAGCGAAGATCTCCTGCTCCCTTTGGATGAAGGCACATGGCAGGCGGGCAACGTTCATAGCAATAGCCCGAAGTCAGACGGTCCCCAATGTCCACTTTCTGGCGAAAAGAACCGGCGACGTCTGTTTCCCAACTTTATTTGCCATGATCACTCGATTTTCGGCTTCTTTCTTCCCCTCATGACTATCACAGGCGAGTTGATCGACCTGAACCAGGCGCGAAACCATCCCATGCTCGGCCTGCGAGTACAGGGGAAGGAAGCATGGGATATCCATATCAGCGAAGTCCTGCGACAACTCGAAATATACAAAGCTAGCCTCACGACCTTCGCTGCTGCGGTGGCTACCGACCCAGAAGTACCTGTATCAGCGGCCTTTCCGCCAGACCCCAAGACGGACCGACCGCCAGTTATGGACCCATCGCTCTCTCAGGCATACTCGTGGCATACGCAGACTGTTATCGCTTACGCGTCTTATCTGGTGCATGTCCTTCATATACTTCTAGTTGGGAAGTGGGATCCTGTCTCGCTCATCGAAGACAAGGATTTCTGGACATCGTCTCCTGCATTCGCATCCACAATCTCCCACGCCCTCGACGCAGCCGACTCCGCAGACCAGATCCTACGATTTGATCCTGATGTTAGTTTCATGCCGTACTTCTTCGGCATCCAGCTTCTCCAAGGCAGTTTCCTGCTCTTGTTAATCGTGGAACGCTTGCAAAAGGAAGCCGGCGAGGGAATCCTGAACGCTTGTGAGGTGATGATCCGGGCCACAGAGTCTTGCGTCGTAACCCTCAACACCGAATACCAGAGGAATTTCCGGCAAGTAATGCGGAGCGCGGTGGCGCAGGCTCGCGGGCGTCCTGTTGATCATAGTGAGATTCGTCGTCGACGGAAAGCAGTATTGGCTCTGTATCGGTGGACGCGGAAGGGGACTGGGTTGGCTCTATAGGTTGAACAGGATTGAATCCCACAATAATCGTAGCAGGGGGTCTGCTTTTCTGTCTGAACTTGGCCTCTTTGTATTGCGGATACATTAATGAGGTTTACTTTTGTAAAAATGACATTTTGCTGGTTGATGTATATATATCCGGAACGAGCAAACCCTAATACATATTATGCCACTGCTTCCATAAGAACATCCAATATGCAAATTATCTGAGAACACGTTAAAACTCCAAGTATGCACCTCATGACTTCGTGTGGCGGGACGAACTAATAAAACAAAAGAAAGAAGCCTCCCCTCTGCTTAGTTCAAGCAGAAGGAAAAGCATGGAAGCGGATGTTTAATTTCGTGTCTGACATTTCAATCATTAGCCTGCGAGGAGGTGCCTTGTTTCGAAAAGACCGGAAACTGGAATCTTCTACCTATAAAGAGGAAAAGGTCCTTGACGAATTGCTTTTCGATTGTGCCTTCAGCGAAGCTTTCGTAGGCGGTTTGGAGGACAAAGATCATGCGAGAGACGAGAACGCCCGGGATGTTTTGGACGTAATATTTCATGCTGCGGCAGATGTTGCAGGCCGATTCGTAGCGGTCCTGCATGGTCAGTACGCTTGGTAGACCGCCGTCTGTGGATGAGATCATGAGGCGCATGGCCCAAAAGAAGTTCATCGACGTGGCGAGAAGAAGGTCCGGATAGACTAGGTCCCGCGGAGTGAAGGTCTCGAGGCTGCTTGGATCACGACATTTGAACACAGGGAAGTCCGCTACGGCAATTGGCTCAAGTGCTTCCCACGGACCCCCGTCGGGATATGTTCGGACATGTGTGGTTTCCCATAACTGTAGTCGGCCTTCGATCTCGGTAGCCTTGTCCCAGATAGTGGTTTGCAATGAGATTAGCTCGGTTGATGCAGTGGCGTTCTTCAACATGGACGTAAAGGTATCCACTTCCGAGAGATATTCAGGGATATCCACAGCGATGTCTAGCGCTCGATGTAAGATGTCCTTCGGAGCACTGTCACCCAGCCAGGGGACAGTCAGCCACTCCCGCGAAGCCAGAAAGGTCGGTTTTCGTAGAGCTATGGCGGCTGTGACCTGGAATCTTCCAGTCAGAATCGACCCCAGTATGTCTCGCAAGAAAAACATACCCAGTAGAGTCGGAGATCGACGAAAAGCGACCGCTCAAGTCCATATCTATGCCGGTAAGGTGTTCGTGACCGCAAGAGCTGGAGACCTCCCATCTGATGTTTCAGAATGGAGTCCTTGGAACTTTGTTTGAAAGCCTTTCAATCAAATAAGCCAGTGAGTCCAGAAGCGCCATGAGGGCCAAACTGACCTCAATGATCGTCGACAGAAGCACTACGGTTAGAGCGTCGGTTGCCTGGCTTTTCTCGGGATGATAGAGCGCGCTCTGAAGTTGTCCCAACACCCTGATATACCGAGCATGTCCGACCATCTCCAGGGACCGATTTTGCTGACGACTCCCGGCGAACGTCAAAGAGGCTGCCTCGAATGCGTTGCAGAGCATGGGAGAAAAGACTCGCATTTCGGCCGCCTGGCGTAGCCGGATTGTACCACCGAAGTTGGATGCATTTGCGGGACTGAATTCTCCGATCAATCGTTCAATAAACAATTCCATCAGTGCACGGGCCAGTGTCGGATTTGATAGATTTTTCTTCTCTTTCTGCAAATCTGCATCTGGGTCAATAGATGCGCATTAGTGCTACATAATTGAACAAAAAACACACCGATTTTTGGCGATATTGCACCGCTGCTCGTTAGCCTGACCGGGCTAGACGGCAAAGAATGGCCTTGCGAATCTGTCTGCGTGCCAGAATGAACAAGCGCTTTCCGTTCGCCGGGTTTACCGGAGCTTTCAGCATCAAACGAGTCTACATTATGAGGCGACGGCGTGTCCTCCTGCTTAACGGGGGGGAAGTTCGCTTGCCTCCGGGTCTCCTCGAGTTCGTGCTTCAGCGTTTCGCAGGATTGCAAAAGATTCTCAATGACAGTAGACTGCTCAATAAAATAGCGGTCCTGCTTGCTGTTGCCATATTCACACTCGGATGGCGTTCCCCGCAGACAGCAGGCGCCACATGGCTTGACTCTATCGCACTGTTCGCCATGAAGCTTATCAGCGACTCTGGCGGGGGACACAGGCCTGTCTGAAACCGCACGATGCGACGGGCATAAATAGTAGGAATAGTTACCTTGACTTTGCGTTTATGGCATTGCAAACAGGAATATGTGGGTCGAATTTTCTTTCGTGCATTTTTTCTCCCGGGTTCAGCGGCGCCAAATTGATCCTCGTCCTCTTTCTCCTGACTCGATCCAGCACCATCTGCCATGATCAACGCTGCTTGAAGCTTGATGGAATGATCGCAGAAATAGAAGAAGGATCACTCAAACGGTGAATGTCATTTTGCAGCATTGCTGTGGCCAGATGCACCGAGGATTAGGAAGCCTGAAATGTGACAACTCTGCGCAGAAACGGCGGGCCGGGGCTGCAATTAAGCAATAGTGACAGTTAGTCGGTCGCCAAATATGGAGAGGGATCGGTAATATTCACTTTGGTAAACGGTCTAATCCACCTAGTTCCAATCAGCGACGCACAGGTGTGGATTACCAAAAAAAAAAAAAAAAAATTAGTCCGTGGCGTCGAAAAGCGCAAACCGCGGGAGCACAGATGGAGCAGTTTCTCTCGCGGTGCAATAATATCCAGAATCTTGAGTCGAAACCTTGGCCTTGCCTCCCAATTCGTGCTCGTACAGAGTACTACGATTTCGGAAGGGCTCCCCGGCCGGACGGAAGTATAACCTTGTGCTCCTGCACTGCATAAAAAACTGCAAAAAGCCTCGGGGCTCCTTATTCCCTGCGTGGCGAAGTTGTGCGTTAGGTTTCAGTCTGTCGATCGGAACCGAATCCCGCTATCAATGTCGTTTGTTTATTATTTTCCCTTCTTTCGTTCTTCTTTCACTTTCTTCGCTATTCCTTTGTTATTCCCGGAGATTGGGATAGTCAAAGATACCGTTAATGGCCATGTGCTTCGGGCATGAATGATCATCGGCCACTGACAGCAGGAGGCTCGGGCCGGGGCGTTGGTCGTTTAACAAAAGTCCGTTCGACAAGACCAGACACGACACCGTCCGTGGAGTGCAGAGTATTCTGTAGAGTATCGTATCTTCGAAATAGTAACCGTCTCCAGTAATGTGGGGGGGTTGGCGTGCTGATTTCCTGTCTGGTCTAGCGAATGCAATTCAGCTTCTTCGTTCTTTAGACTACCGAGCACTGTCAACCGCAAAGGTTTGCTCGTATTATCACTTTCCAAGCTGAGAGCCGCCCCCCTCTTTCCAGGCTACTTGGAGATATCTTCCCGCTATCCCCGCCTGGAACCTTGGCTCGCATCCAGTACAGATTCCTTGCGGCGTATCGGGTATGAAAGAGAGGAGGCGTATGTGAATGACACATGACTGCCAGCTTTCGGACATCGACCAGCGTGTCATCTGATGCGAAAGACGACACTGTTAGCAAGGACTCATATGCCCAGCACGTGAAGGATTAATACTCGTAGTGTCTAATTTTATATCCTGCAGTATCGATGTCGAGACACATGCAATGTGCTTTTGACCATCACACTTATTAGTCACCTTGCAGCGAACAATAATCAAATTAAAAGTAACAATGCGACAAGGTGTGATGTGTTGAGAGATGCGAGATTGCTGGCGATTGCGCTGAAGAAGGGAAGATGTTTGTTTGTTCGCGGGAAGAAGTCAGACAAGGCTAAGTCACGGGACAGCCCAAAAAGGTAGGGGAGTGACTTGCCCTTAAGAGCTCAAAGAAGACACACCACTTAAGATACTGCGTATTCATAGACGTTTACATACTTGCCAACGGCTCACTCAGACGGCTTTATGGCTGGAAGATTGACTACTAAGCAAAAAAACATTAAGATAGAACAAAGGAAAGCAGACACGGAAGTGCGGCAGAACGCGGTTCATTAATGGGCAAATTTAATACAATACAAAGAAGTATGGCAGGTACATTTCAGCAGCTACCATGAAAGAAACAAGGGAGGGCCTATGGGAATTTGCATAGATGCCGAGGATATCAGTCGTAGCTGATCCATCTTCAACGGCCATACCACTCTAGAAAGCCTGGCCACCAAAGCCAGCAGGAGCCGGAAGGGTGGGCTTAGGAGTAGCCACGGTCTTCCAGGTAAAGGAGGGCAGGGAGGGCGCGGACGAAGCACCGGGGCCGGCTTGAGAGTAGGCAGGGACGAAAGGAACGCCAAATCTCTTGACCATACTAGCCGAAGCGGACGGGGTAGCGCTCGAGGAGGCACCAACAGTACTAGAAGCGCCTGCAGAACCGCCCTGCTTGCCAACACCGGCGTTGGCGACAACGTACGAAGCCACCTTGCTAACATCCATGACGTCCGCCTTGCCTTCATCGGAGGGCCAGTCGGAGAGAACGGACTGGTCGCTGGTGGTGAGGTTGCCCGAGCTGACGAGAGAGTTGGCGACGCAGTTACGGCCCAGAGCCGACTTGCAGGCAGACTGGTCGGAGCTGGTGACAGCAAAGACCTTGCCGGAGTCCGGCTCGGAAGGAGTGTCGACCTGGGCAAAGACATTACCCTCGATCAGGACATTGGAGTTCTTGCCAACATCAAAGGCGTGGCCGGTGTTGTTGTACCAGTAGTTGTTGTAGGCGTGCCAGTGGTTGGCGAACTCGACCTTGGGAGAACGGCCGGAGGTGTGGTGGATGTAGTTGTTGGCGAAGGTCACCTTGTCGTTCTTTCCATAGCCGAGACTATAGAGAACCACCGTTAGCGGCGAGTGCATATCGCACAGAGATGAAATACTTACACGCTCCAGTAGTGGTGGCCATCGCAAGAGGCAGACCAGCTGGTACGGCCGTCGAATTCGCTGTTAGAGATGGTGACACTGCCGCCTGTGGAAATTGGTTAGTCTGTACCGGGCATGGCGGGTATGGAACGGTACTTACTAGAGTCGTATCCAGAGACGAACATCTGGCGACCGACCAGAGAGACCTTGACATGGTCGACCCAGATCTTGTCGGTGCCATCCAGGGTGATAGCATCACCACCCCAGATGTATTGCGGGTTGAGCTCCGTGATGTGGATGTTCTGGATGATGATATTCTCGACACCGCTGGTCAGACGCAGACCCTTGCCGCGAAGGACACCAGCGCTACCAACACCGACGATGGACTTGTCCGAAGCAACCGTCAAGCCCTCGAGACCGGCTTTGTCGTAGGTGCAAGTGGTCGATGGGTAGTCACCGCACCAGTCGGAACCGCTAGTCTTGATGGCATTCTGGCCGGAGCTGCCACAGCTGTTGGAGTCTGGGATGCAGCAGTCGCAATCCTTGCAAGTGTCTTGACCGAGGAAGTTGAACTCCTTGTCAATAAGGATCACACGGGGAGTGTCGTCGCCCAACCAGCTCTTCAATTCGGCAATGTCACTGGGGGCCGCAGGGCTCGCATCACCACCACCGGTGGTACCACTGGCAAAACCAAATGCGGTGCCCTGGACGCCTTCAGCAGCATTGGCGTAGGCGCTCAAAAGAGCCGTCGCGGCAAGAAGAGAACGGAAAAAGGCCATTTCGAAGAATTCTCAGAATCTTCACACGACCAGACAACGAAAGCGAAAGACGAAAAAAATGAAACAAGGAATGACTGAACCAGCAGTTCTCAACGAAAGAAAGTACAGATTGAAAGACAATCGAAACGAAGCTGAATGGGTTCTAACTACCCGGACTGTCACCACTTCTTTATACTTAGCTACATCTTGGACTCAGTTTGTAGTGATATCAATCTGGAACAGATGACGGCCGTGATATTTCCCCCTGCACCCACTTCGCATGAGAGACGCCTGTGCCCCAGCAGGGTCAGCTCATCCCGCCGGGACCAATCCCTGAACTATGGGCACCATCCGGTTAGAGATTGATCACGGCTGCCCGGCTGAAACAGAGGCCGTTGTTCTTGGCAGAGGTAGCCAGGAACCAGGCATGTCTTTGTCATCTGTCTGTCACCTAACTATCATGGAATATTTGGCTTGTTGGCTCTGTCATTACGGTGCCATTGTAGCCCGTCGGTGATGGTGCCATTCAGTCCTCCGAGAAATGCATGCCCATCATCTGCCAAGGCGTCAACGTCTGCAAGTATGCTGATAATTCTGGAGAATAAGGGAAGCGGAGTCGACCTTGGCAGATCGACAGGGCCACTTTCCGAGTCTTTGCTTCCGATGGGCCGTTGTGCTCTACTACTCTGAGTATGGCTTCGGAGATTATCCACAACAGGGTGTATCAAAGCCTTCTTCAAGATGGAGAAACGGCAAGTGATCAACACGACGGAGAAGAAGTTGTTCCGTGCTTCCACGCGTCCTGGGGTCCACTTGTTTTGGCTCAAGATGGCTATTCTTGTCTTCTCCTGTCTCGGTGCGGCAACAGGCAAGCTTGAAAAGAGGGCAGTGACAGTGTCAGGCCCTGTATCTGGAACTGGTGAACCTGTCAATCATCTGTTTCTTGCATCTTGATTCAATCCAGAAGGGTTAACCACTGACTCGAAGAATATACGTTAAATCTCGCCCGAAACAAGGAATCGTCTACGACCCGATGTTTCGCCGTTTATTCATTCTCAATTCGTACAACGCAGGGCAGGGTCCTTTTGAGGGGCGCTTTAACTAGAAGGGCAATCAAAGTACTATTCCCATGCCGACTATGCTCGTATCTTGGTCCTTGAGTTGTCCGGCCACTTTTCAACTTTGGGGAATCTCACCAGTGGCCGCTCCCCACGTACAAGGTTGCTCCCGAGTTGCCCCCGACTGACTTCCGTGGTTATAGCACGTCCATATGGGGACACCAGGATGTATGCAACTGTCATGACAAATTTGGAAATTGCATATTCGCGTCCAAAGACAACGCGACAGCTTCCTTGTCAATCCTCGCATCATTGAACCTCCATGCATGTCAATATCGTATTCAGCGTCTCGTTCGACTTCCCGAACGTACAGGGTGTCATTCGATGATACTCGAACCTCGGGCGCATTCCGTAAGAGCGCAGCAGCCAGGCTCAAAAGAGTACGAAAAGCCAGACATTGTTAATCTACTGCCGCAGCAATAGACGGCATTTGTGTTGATCCTAATGTGATATAATATACTACCGTCCTCTACATGATGTTGCATTCGGACATTCCGGCATGGGATGAAACAAGACGGTTTGGCAATGTACTTTGAGCTGGAATGCTTCGCATTACACGTCTGCCCAGCTGTAGGACTCAAACATGTGTGTGAGAGACTTTATGGGAATATGACTATAGTGACAACTTGCTCGTCAGTCTAAACTGACGTACAGCACATTCAACAGAAGCAAAGACGGTCTGCAGAGAAGTCCTTCGACCTGCTTTTCAGAAACACTTTTACGCCCACTTCCCAATCAATGCCATGATACCCGCGCCCAATAACATACAAAACACCATGTACAACAATTGAGACCGACGCTTCGTCCGGCACGGATCGAACAAGAAGTCCCTCGCCAACAGCTCTACCAGTGCGCTGTAGATCAAAATCCCAGCCGATACCGCGTTCAAAACACCCTGGACGATCAAGGCAACCTTGGAATCGGGATTGTATGTCGTCCTCACGCCCAGCCCGATGGCAATGGAAATAGGCGTGGTGAGTCCGTATGCCAGGCATAACACCCAAGGAAGCCATTTGTGTCGACCAAATGGAATAGCAGACATCCGCGCACCGATTCCCAGTCCTTCGAACGATTGATGGAAAACCAGAACAGGGTAGAGTGTAGCGAATTCCTCGCCTGTGACGCCTAGGTTCAGGCCGATAATGACAGAGTGGAAGATGATGCCAAACTCCAGGATCAGGAAGGCGGCAATCTGTTGCCGGAATGATCGTTCTGCGTTCGAGCTATCGTCAGAGAAAAGTTCGTTGCTTTTGCTCCTCGTTGGTGTCGGTCTTTCGTCAGAGGCACCGGCGTGAGCATGGGGGTTGGAAGTGAGGATTGCATCCGTGGCCGACTCGTCTCGTTCAACGCCGTATTTGTGCTCAACATATACCTCTGCAGCCAGATCCATCAGGAAGATAATCATGACCGACGTCAGAACAATGGCAGCACACCAGGAATAATCACCCCAGTGACCGGAACTGCCGACGCAGGTATTCGGACCAATGCTGCTGTATGCGGGATCCAGCAAATGGATGAACGCTGTCGCCACAATAACTCCAGTACCGAAATACCGGGCGAAGAGGTAGACGCTGTGCGGGATTTTCCATCCTGGGTTTCGTTTGGCGACAACCGGGAAAAAGGTGAAGGCAGTGGAAACGAAGAGAATCACAAAAATGGAGGAGATGCGCGCTCCGAGGTGGCCATTGTAGTCATTTTCAGAGAGGGCCAAATAGCAGAGGACATCCTCCTTGCTGGCCGTGCTAAGGTCCACGTTGGAAGCGTTGAAGGAAGACATGGGGATGAGAGAATGAGGGATTGATATGTTGTAGCCGTGTGATGGCCATGGTCGTGGGTTTCAGCATTATACCCGTTGTGCGAGAGGACCTTGAAAGCTCATGAAAGGACGATGGACACTTGGATTATATTTCAACCTCGCAGACTGGATTCAGAGTGGACCAAGCGTATTCCGGTCGTGATCAAAGCGTGGATGCCTACAATCCATGCGAAGCTTAACTAGCGGTGCTTAGCGGTGCTTAGTGGTGCTTAGTTAGCGGATACTGGCGAGGCATTTCAGCGGGGGCCGGGAAACCGGCAGATGCTTCGCTGAGTCTGATTGAGCAGATTCAATAACTAGACATGGAGCCTGTGGATAGCCGCAGTGTGCCCCACGAGCAGAAGAGATTTCATCCGAATGGAGGACTCGGAGTGCGTACTCTGTATACCTCGCAGATATCGGAGATGATAGCAGCAGTTCGTAGGGCTGAACCGAACCATATTTGCAATACAGCTGGTATTACCAGATCCTGTAAATTCTGCTGCCTCCAAACGGTAATTTGGTATGTTGGCTGCAATGACCAATGGCCAATGCATTGGCTACTGCAAAGAATTATTACAGCGCTACCCCGTATGGTTTTGCGTCACGCCCTTCCTCCGCCACTTCATCAGTGTCACCTCCTCTTTCCCTTCCACGCCCTCTTTTCTCTCACGCTACTCTACTCATCTGTCATGGACTGTGATGCCCATGTCTACCATTCATCACACATTCTGTTCTATCGGTTTTCGATCTTCATCGTTTGATCGTCTTGTGCATCCGCCATGACTTCTCCTCCCAAGGAATACGGACTCTATGAACCGTTCGATCTTCTATCCACCGTCCATCAAACCTACAGCGATTCCAAGATCATCGTGGTGGCCTGTCTGGCATCCTGGCTTCTCTGTCGTCTGAACCTTCGCTTTATCTGGATTATATTCATTCTCGCCTGCTGTCGGACCCAATATGATGTTTCTATCCGCCGTGTGGAACGTGTGATCCGAGATGAAGTGCGCCGATATCATTCGCGGAAGACGCTTCAGCGAGGCGAAAGTGTCGAATGGGTGAATATCATTGTGAACAGGCTGTGGCATCTCTACGAGCGACGGATCTGTGATGAGCTTGTGCGATACGTCAACAGCGAACTGGCCCGGAAGGGAGCCATCGAAGGCAATCCGCAACGGGTGGTGGTACACACACTGGAGGTCATCGAGAAACCGCTACGCATCAACAAAGTCAGAGTCATTCCCAAGCCGGAGTCGCCCAATTTCATTCTGGAAGCAGAGTTCTCCGTCAACATCCAGCACCCGAATGCGCACCAGCATTTGCACTTTCTTGATGACCCTCTGCTTGATATGAGCATCGTCCACGAACACCCCGACCGGAAACACCACGACATGGCGGTGCAAGTCAAGCAGTTCACCGGTTCGGGAACGGTACAGTTCGAATTCGATTTCGAGTCCTCCCGACCGCACCTTCTCCAGCCACATTTTGAAATCCAAGACAAGCCGCATATGGACTGCACGATCAAGACGATCAGTCACCACCATTTCCCTTTTCACTTTGCGCACCACGTCGACTGGCGAAAGGTGGTTGAACGGCAGATTCGCGAGGGAATACACCGAGTCTTCCACCAGCCACTGCCTCTGCCGTTCCATATGCTGGGCGAGGGACTGGTGCTCAAAATCATGACCGGCATGTGGTATTGGCATCGGTACCGAGACGGAGAAGGCTGGCTGTAATGTAACGTGGGTTGCCACGCCATTTTCGAGTGCAAAAAGATCAGCAAAAGGGGCCAATCAGGGGCTGTTCCTAAACATAGTTTGCCTCGTAGGGCTGATTCCACAAGGGTTGCCATTGGCTGGAAACGGTGTTGCCTAGATCGGGCTGTGGTGCTGTTTTGTAAATAACATTTGAAAATTACACTAAATATAATAATGTGAAATACCATTAGACTATGCAGCCAAAAAAAAAAAAAAAAAAAAAAAATGGAATATCGCATAGTGTGCATAGTGCATAGTGCATTGTGAGGGATCACTCATCAACCCCTGGCCATACCATCCACGCGCCCCCAATTCCCCCCTTCAAAGCCACCGCTGTCCACAATGCCCCCGACAATCCTGTAGGACTCTTCGCCCATAGACCCCCTAGCATGGTACCCAAGCCCAAGCACAGAATAGCCGCAGCACGCCGTCGCTGCTCGATATTGAGCCCAATCGGATTCGAGAAGAGGTCGCAGTACACGCTCGTCAACACCACGCTGGTCAGTCCCCGGCATTCCAGAATCCGACTCGTCACCGCCTGACCACTGCTTTGGAAGGCCAACAGACATAACGGAACCAGAACGCGCCACTCTTCCGCGCTATGATGGTGGTGACGATGCAGTGTAACAATCACCGCGGCAATGCCAACCAGTAGCGCCTGGAAAAGGAATGACGCGCAGAGAGCCCAGCGTCGCCGCGCAGATGGTCCGCAGAATTGATAAAACGCCCCGAAGAAATACGACCCCACGCAGAAACTGGCAATTGAGAGCCCGGATTTCACCCATCGACGGTCGGGGTCTGCTTGTGCTAGTCCAAGACCGAGATAGACCGTGTTTCCGGTTTGCATGCTCACAAACGAGCCCCAGATGAAGAAGGCAGAGCTGTCGAGGAGTCCGGTAATGACATAGCAGAGAAGAAGGACAAGATCGCCCCGACGAGGTGACACTTCCTGTTTGAGATAGGCGAGGAGGCGTGGCGTAGGTTTGGGCTGTGCGCGAGGTAGTAGGGGCTCGTCTTCGCGTGGCATTGTTGTTGCAATTCGAAAAAAAAGATTGACTTTGGTGACTCGGGAAGTCATTTACACGGATGATGTAATCATTTTGCATTAACTAACTAACGTGGTCGGTAAGCGAGCGACGCATGTAAGCGAGCGACGCACCTGACCACACCACCTAAATTGGAATCGATTTTATTAACCACCAACGCCATTAAATTCATCCAGCTATCTACTAGGACATTGGTTAATCTTATGCCCTACATTCCCACATAGACTACACGTTGGTGGCCGGCGCGCTGGCCGCTGGCTAGGCGAAATAGCCGGCGCAGCCGCTGCCATCTGAGTGACTATCTCAACTTCAGAAGGCTGGTTTAGGCCCCGAATCACCTGCTGAGCGTCTTCCATTGATAGACTGCCCTGGTGAGTGATCTGTCTCTTAGATCTAGCTCGCTTTTGCTTCTTTTTCTCATTCGCCGCGCGTAGATCCTTGTTTTCCTGCGCTAGTATTGCACCGGCCTGCATAGCTAGCTGGGAACCCTTGATCAGCTTGTTTAGTGCCCTGCCTGGGGGGCTATTGCTGTTTCGGTTGTATAGAGCTTTGATGGAAGATGCTTGTTGATGTAATTGGCGCTGGTTTTGTGGTGTTTTTAAGCTAGAATTGCTGGTTTGACTGCCTGCCTGGCTACCTGGGGGGG